TTGACCTCCACACAGACTTGAGAGTAACGAGACCTTGTCTTGCTTTTCCGATTCTCGCCTTGATATCCTCATCAGTTCCGTCTGCCTGTAGTTGAAACGATGCTTTCTTGGTAGGTGGGTAGGTAAAGGAGGTTGTTTCCTTCAGGTTCCTCCCATTTATGCTGATTGTTGTCTGTTGTTGTTGGTGGTGGTGGGGGTGTTGGCCAGGAATCTTCAACACCTCTGTTTTCTCTGTGTTCACCTGAAGTCCTTCCTATCTTCCCTGGATGCTTCTTCTGCCAGCTTTTTGCTTTTCACTTTCATTTCTTCCAGTTTGTGGGAAATCAGACATATATCATCGGTGAAGTCCAGATCCTCCAAGTTTTTGTGTGAGTCCATTTCATGCGTGTTTCCTCATTGTCCGCTGTCTGTCGCACTATCGAATCTATTGCAATCAGGAATATCATTGGCGATAGTAGGCAGCCAGCTGGTCTTACTTCCATCTTTACTTCGAAGGATTCCGTGAGTTTCCCGTTGTGGATTACTTGGCATGCAGAATTGTCGTATAACTGTTGGATGAGATGTATAATTGTCGATGGGACCCCGTAGTAGCGAAGTAGTTGCGAAATGACCACTCGATCGACGTCGCGCTATCGATGGCCTTTTCAAAATCGATGAAGTTGAGATAGAGAGGTGACTGCCATTCCAAGCCTTGTTCGATGATGATCCGTAGAGTGGCGATTTGATCAACACATGACTTGTGTCTCCTGAATCCAGCCTATTCCGGTCGAAGTTTTTCATCCAGCTTGGCTTGTTTGATTCTCTCCAGGATAATCCGGCTTAGTATTTTGCTTGGAATGGACAGGAGAATAATTCCGCGCCAGTTTTTACATTGACTTAAGTCTCTTTTCTTTGGTAGTTTGAATAAGTATCCTTTCTTCAATCCTCGGGTACTTTGACCTCTTTCCACACCTTCTCCAGCAGTGGCGTCAAGAAGTTAGCTGTTGTCTCTGGGTCCATTTTCAATGCTTCAGCTGGGATTCCATTTGGTCCTGCTGCTTTTCCAGCTTTTGGCATTTTGGTTACCTTGGTCCTGAATGCAACCTGTCTGTGTACAATCCGAAATGCACACAGACGGGTTGCCTTCAGGACTTCTGTTCTCGTTAGGGGGTTGATATTCACTGGTAGTTCTGCTTCCGTTGTTGGTATTGTTGGGAGCGTTGTAGGTGGCGGTCGATTTAGAAGTCTTTTGAAGTGTTCAACCCAGTGCTTTCTCTGTTCCACCTCTTTGGTGATTGACTTTCCATTGTCGTCCTTTATTGGCTTAATCTGTGTCGAACGTTTGCCCGAAAGGTTCCTAGTTGTTTGGTAGAGTGTGGCGAGGTCTCCTTTGCCTGCAGCTTGTTCTGATTCGTTTGCCATGGTTTCATAATATTTTCTTTTGTCTTCCCTGTCACTCTTCTTCATTCTTTTGTTCAGTGTTTTGTAGCTTGCATGCAACTCCTGTTTTTGTTGCTGGTCGGTGCACTGGATAATCTTTTGTTTCACTATCCTTCTCTCCTCTATTAGTTTCCAAGTGTCCGTGGTAAGCCACTGTTTGTTCTGTCTCTTCTCTCTGCCTAGAACTTCTATGCAGGTTTGGCTCCACACCGTTTTCAAGTTGTTCCAGTGCTTTTCGACGCTGACCTCTTCGCTAGTGTTGATTCGTGTCTCGGCTTTGTCCCTTATGCTTGCAATGAGGATGTCCTTTGTATCCTGGTCCTTCAGTCTTTGAGTATTGAACTTGGCTTGTGGTCTATCTGCAGCTCCTGATTCCCTGAAAGCTTTTATTTTGATTTGGATTGTCCCTTGTACGAGATAGTGGTCTGAGCCAACGTCTGCTCCTCTTCCTACTTTTGTGTCCAGTAGGCTGCGCCTCCACTTCCTTGAGCAGCATTGAGATGAAGTCGATTTGGTTTTTGGTTTGCCCGTCTGGTGACACCCATGTAGCCTTGTGGATATCTTTGTGCTTGTATACACTGCCACCAATCACTAGTTCGTTGAAGACGCAGCAGTCGGCGAAGAGTTCTCCATTTTCATTCATTTCTCCGAGAGCTTCTCTACCTATGATGGGTTCCCTTCCTGTGTTATCTGGTCCCAGTTTGGCGTTCATGTCTCCCATTAGTATTTTAATGTCTCCAGCGGGAGTATTGTCCATTGTTGCCTGTAGTTGCCTGTAGAATTGTTCTTTCTTTTCGAGGTCTGCATTGTTTTTGGGTGCATAGCATTGTATAACTGACACTTTCCTTCCTATGGAGTTGAATCTAGCGCTCATTATCCTGGACGAGTTTCGCCTCCCATTGTATCAGGGCCTTCGTTGCCATTTGTGACATCATGATAGCCACGCCCTCGGTGTGATAAGAAGTTAGAAAAGCATTACTTAAACCTAAGGTAATAAAAATGATAAGAAAGGTCATGAAGTAGTAAAAGGTTAGAAATGAATGATTGTCAATGAAAGAAAAGAAAAGAAGAAAAAATTGTGATAGGAATTCAAGGTTCCAATGTTTATCGAGGATTTGTTGACCTTATTGTAGGTCAAGGTAAACGTAGCGGTTGAACGTACTTTTTCTGTATACAAAGAACTGGTCTTTGGGTGTTGAGTGCTACCGCTTCAGCTAGTGATAGAAGACGTAGTCGAGTTCCTCTAGATAGATTACTAGAAACGTGGTAAATGACTGAGAACGCCTGTGCAGGTTTTGTCAAGTGTCCAGTATCTACAAAATTGGCTGAAACTGCACTGTTCACGCATTTGGTTACCCCGTACATAACTCAATCATACAGGTGCAGGTTCACATGAGCTTATGGATAAAACCCTCTGGTTATCGTCAATGTGACTAGCTCCACATGAGCAGTTGAATTTGTTGATACACATTAATGAGGTCATATCTGGTAATTTATTTTTGACTGGTTGTGTGAGTACCAGTTTAGCTGCAGGAAATGTTTTCTTTGCTTCTCTATTAATTCGACTTTTTAGAATGTCATCTGCTATTACCCTTTTGTAACTTAACTATTGTTCCATTCCATCTTATAATTGTTTCACAACACATCGTCTGACACAGTACTGATTTTCCTTAACTGGCTGGCTATTGTATGTTTAATGGATTTATAATTATAGAGGCTGAGGAGGAATTTATCGGAAACAATTTTTCACTTTAATTCTTTTTCTTCTGAGTAAAAAATTCACACAAAACAACGTATGAATATTGTGTGTTCAATTTGTTTCTTGTTTTGTTTCTGGTCTACTTATTGTGAATTAAGTAACCAGTGTGAAAATATTGAAAAAAATAAAAAACTGACTTCTTCGGACTAGACATCAACCATTAGACAAAGACAACAGCAACAACAACAACAACAAAAATCCAAACTTGAACGAGTATACTCTGGTTTTTCTCAAAGTGATCAGGCTTGTCACTCGTGAAATAAGAGGAATGCAATCCAAAGTGTTTTCGATTCTTGATATATGTTGTGTATTCATCTCTGCCTACCAATTTATTTATTTATGAATTTTTTCTAGGTAAGAACATTACTGCACAGTGGTTAGGCTGTGGAGTAAACCACATGTATTATGTATTTCCCGATATAGCTGGGAATCGTCGTGTGTGTGTGCGTGTGTTTTGTTTTTCATAAGTTCTGCAGAGAATTCCTAATTTATGCTACGATTCTTGTTCAGACTCTCTCTCTCTCCCTCTCAGATAACCTCGTAATAGCACGCTGCTATTCATATATAATAAATAATAATTGATGATGGAATGTGAATTCAGGTGGTCACAAACCAGCAGTCTCCGGACAGTAGGCTTCAGTTTATAACTGGTGTATTGCTGAGTTGAAATCTGGAAGCTCATGATTGAAATCCGTTGGTAACGCCGGTTTTCAATCCCAATTTTGAAATTTGTGATCAATCATTACATCATTAGTAGGTTGCTAATATATAAAACTACCATTGAGATAAGAATAGAACGTCAGATATTTTCTTTCTCTAAGAATACACAACATTCTTCCCTTCTAATTCAGGCAATCTTGTTGGTAGCATCCAGTACATTATGTGTGTATGTGTGTGTCTTTCATCCTGCATGTACACACTTATTGTTGGCGCCGAGAGTAGGAGAGAAGCCCCAAAGATAACTTTGACCTTAATATGATTCCGAACCAGTAATCGCCTATGACAATGTTTACTTATATATTTAACTAAATAGTGAGAGATTGATTAAAAAATAAGTGTTTTTTAATTAGCTCTCGGATCGCTGCCCTGCGTACTTCATTTCTGGTCAATTGGTAAGCAAGGGCGACTTTCATCACTCTAAAATCAGTTTGGAAATTTGCTGCATTCAGCATAAAGAACGAAATTCGAATTTTCAGAGACTTGGCGTGTCATGCATGGCATTCCTAAGGGTTTACTTCAGACTTTCATGAACTCCGGCCTTCTCTATCCAGAAACCTAAAATCAGATGACCACCAGAAAGGATAAGCAACAAGGAAATCTGACACCAAACAATCAATCAGAAAATATTCCTAATGAAATGGAGATGGATACACATTGGGTAGACCGCTGAGTATCATCACACCCCACATACTCCAGTGGATGAGAACGGATGAGAAATAACGAGATGGGCGTGTGTGGAGAAAATGAAAGCGTTTGGGTAATTGGGGAACCGCCTGAAGAGGACTACAGAGAACAGGATGAAATGGAGTTGTGTTGCTGACACTCTGTGTCTCACTCGAAACCCGAAGGAATAATAATATTGTAAGATATTGTCAACAGAGACAATTTATGCATAGCTAATCTCCTGGTGTATTATTATTTCACTTCAGCAAGCTGAGTTCTAAAGAATTGTCTGCCTATCCTTCACTGGCCTGTGGGGATACTAGGTAGTTACTACTACTAAGTCGAGTGATAGGACACTGATATAAACCGATGCACTGCACTACTGTTTCTTTGTATACGTTATTCTCGTATTTTTTCTATACAGCAGGGTGGTTCAGAAATGGATCACTTCTTTGAATATAACTTTTATGTAGATACTATCCTACGTGAAATTTTAACCTATGCTGGCAGCAGACGTATTCTGTTATCATGCTTTGATCCGAATGTATCTGTGATGTGAGTTATGCATCTTAATATATGCATGGTGGTAATATAAATTAACAGTCAATAACTTATTCATATATATATATATATATATATATATATATATATATTATATATATATACTAACCTAAAGCTTCTGCAGATTTTGTGGACGTTCGTAAACAAGCATTTCACTAGGGAGATTTTTGATGGATGTTTAACAAAACTGCTGAAGTGAAAATACTGTTCACCTCATGTCAACTTGTGAGATATTGATCTCTTATTCGTTCCGTTGTCACACCCAGTTATATCCAAGGGATCAGATTTGTTATTGAACTCAATTTTTGGAATGAACACATTAAATATTTAGAACACATCTTTTCTGAGACAATTTTCTTTTCTGCGCAGTCATTAACTAAGATGTACATACTTGCGTACATAGTAAATGCATGGGAATGTTCTCTACCTGTTCCGGTTCCCCTTGTATCTCTTCAGGGAAAACCAGAAGCCTATATAGGGAACTATATACCCGCACTAGTAAGTACAAAAACACATCCATACCCTACTTAGCTCGTGTTCTGTGCGATAAAGTAAGCATTAGGCGTGAAACCTTTAACTTATTAAATAGTCAGTAGAACAATTGGATCTCGTCTTTCCAACTCACATAATTTATAGTAGGTACAACGTTTTCTCTCTTTTCCTTTCTCTCTACCTTTGGTTTTGTCTTTATTTTTGTTATGTGCTGTTTTGTTTCTCTCTTCCTTACAAACTCTACTTAAAACACTCTTGTTCGTTCTTTCACACTCTGTATACCTCGATCATTTTGTTACCGCTTACGCCAGTAAATATGCTAGCGTCTACTTTTCTAACACCCTCAAACACTCTGTTTAATTTTGGCTTTGCTACCGACATGTTAATATGTTGTTATCAAAACTAACTGAGATAACCCTAATTTATGTAGAACTTTATTTATTGATAATGTACTAACTGGATGCAATATTGTAGTAAAATGCTGAGAATTCCATTCTGTATCACAAGTACTGTTTTGGAATAAAGCTATTATCTTATCTTATCTTATGAAATTACAAAATAGGAAATGAAATAATAAGCAGGAGGATGGGATAAAAAATATTGTAGGTTCAAAGTTACTGAGAAAATTGACGTTTTGTGCGATTGGGGATTAGAAGAATATGCATGTGATTCGGTAACAGATCATCCGTTGAACTCAGGACATCCGACTCTATTTGAAAACTCCTTCGAACTCATACAGGATCTGATCAAATGTCTTAAAAGAAGTGAAGTCAAGGCATCGAAGCATATCTGAGGCACTAGTGATGCAAACGTTCAAGCTCACGCTATACATCCAAAAGTAATAAGTTTACAATTTAATCCCTATATGCAATTTCATTAATATGACTCTTGCCTGGAAATAGTTCTGGAGCATTCTGACCCATTTACCATAAACACATGAATGTACAGCCTACTTGACGACTTTATCGAAAGGAAATTGTCTTAGCTCTTCAACCGTCGTTTTAATTCAAATTCTGAAGTCACTCGAGTATTTGGATGTATATGCTTGAATGAAGTTGTCTCCAATAAAGAAAGACATCTTCCACATAATATATACAATGCATTAAGTTTCCCAGCATAAATTCTCGAACTTCGACATAAATACGCCTGCTAACAACAGGGGCTAGAAGGGCTTTCTAACTCGACATCATCAATTTGTATGTTTTTTCTTGCAAATTGAATGTGACCTTCGGTTCATCAAACATACATAGCGGGAAAGTTTTGTTTCCTGTGTCATCTTAAATATGACGGGATTTATTAGGTATTACTGGTCTCTTCCTTATGTTATGTTATGTTATCAAAATAGTCCATGGAATGCATAAATCTCAAAGTGGGTGTGAAAATAATAAGAGTAACAGGCAATTAAAACATCACGCAACCAGGTGATAATTATGGTAAATCAATATTTCAAGGAATTCTATTGAATTTAATGAATTAAGCTGACGAGAGAGATTATACCGGAAGTTGTTCGAAGTGAAATTAATATTAACAATCGACATAATATTGGAAAGATCTGCAAATTGAATAAACGAAACGAGAAATAAATAGGATCAAGTCATGAATGGGGAGCAAGTGAATTGATAAACGCACATAGATTGAGTCAACTGTGGGATCTTGTCCTTCAGGCTGCTGAATAGCGATGGCCGACCAGAGAATGCACTAATTATTCACACATTTCTCTTCCTTTTTATAGGCTTCAATTGAAACAAAATTTATATCCAGTCTTTCAACTTGGCATATCGCCAGAATATGCAGATACACGACGTAATGATTTTGAGCATTTATTCTTCTCGAGATGACTAGTGGCTTACAATAAATAACCAGTAAAGGCGTGAGGCTAGCAACCCCACCCTGTAAACAAAATTGCTACAGAACCTTCAGGAGAATGAACCTCTTTGCACCAAAAGAAAAAGTCTGTGTGGGAACATGGAACGTCCGAACTGTGTACGAGACAGGGAAAGCTGCCCAGATCTCCAAGGAGATGAAAAGATACGGAATACAAGTGCTAGGAATATGTGAAAGCAGATGGAATGGGAGTGGACTCACGAAATTGTCAACGGGTGAGTCAGTGATCTACTCCGGTCACCCAGAAGATAACCACACGCACACCGAGGGCGTGGCTATCATGATGTCACCAACGGCAACGAAAGCCCTGATACAATGGGAGGCGATTTCGTCCAGGATAATGAGCGCTAGATTCAACTCCATAGGAAGGAAAGTGTCAATCATACAATGTTATGCACCCACAAACAACGCAGACCTCGAAAAGAAAGAAGAATTCTACAGGCAACTACAGGCAACAGTGGACAATACTCCCGCTGGAGACATTAAAATACTAATGGGAGACATGAACGCCAAACTGGGACCAGATAACACAGGAAGGGAACCCATCATAGGTAGAGAAGCTCTCGGAGAAATGAATGAAAATGGAGAACTCTTCGCCGACTGCTGCGTCTTCAACGAACTAGTGATTGGTGGCAGTGTATACAAGCACAAAGATATCCACAAGGCTACATGGGTGTCACCAGACGGGCAAACCAAAAACCAAATCGACTTCATCTCAATGCTGCTCAAGGAAGTGGAGGCGCAGCCTACTGGACACAAAAGTAGGAAGAGGAGCAGACGTTGGCTCAGACCACTATCTCGTACAAGGGACAATCCAAATCAAAATAAAAGCTTTCAGGGAATCAGGAGCTGCAGATAGACCACAAGCCAAGTTCAATACTCAAAGACTGAAGGACCAGGATACAAAGGACATCCTCATTGCAAGCATAAGGGACAAAGCCGAGACACGAATCAACACTAGCGAAGAGGTCAGCGTCGAAAAGCACTGGAACAACTTGAAAACGGTGTGGAGCCAAACCTGCATAGAAGTTCTAGGCAGAGAGAAGAGACAGAACAAACAGTGGCTTACCACGGACACTTGGAAACTAATAGAGGAGAGAAGGATAGTGAAACAAAAGATTATCCAGTGCACCGACCAGCAACAAAAACAGGAGTTGCATGCAAGCTACAAAACACTGAACAAAAGAATGAAGAAGAGTGACAGGGAAGACAAAAGAAAATATTATGAAACCATGGCAAACGAATCAGAACAAGCTGCAGGCAAAGGAGACCTCGCCACACTCTACCAAACAACTAGGAACCTTTCGGGCAAACGTTCGACACAGATTAAGCCAATAAAGGACGACAATGGAAAGTCAATCACCAAAGAGGTGGAACAGAGAAAGCACTGGGTTGAACACTTCAAAAGACTTCTAAATCGACCGCCACCTACAACGCTCCCAACAATACCAACAACGGAAGCAGAACTACCAGTGAATATCAACCCCCTAACGAGAACAGAAGTCCTGAAGGCAACCCGTCTGTGTGCATTTCGGATTGTACACAGACAGGTTGCATTCAGGACCAAGGTAACCAAAATGCCAAAAGCTGGAAAAGCAGCAGGACCAAATGGAATCCCAGCTGAAGCATTGAAAATGGACCCAGAGACAACAGCTGACTTCTTGACGCCACTGCTGGAGAAGGTGTGGAAAGAGGTCAAAGTACCCGAGGATTGAAGAAAGGATACTTATTCAAACTACCAAAGAAAAGAGACTTAAGTCAATGTAAAAACTGGCGCGGAATTATTCTCCTGTCCATTCCAAGCAAAATACTAAGCCGGATTATCCTGGAGAGAATCAAACAAGCCAAGCTGGATGAAAAACTTCGACCGGAATAGGCTGGATTCAGGAGACACAAGTCATGTGTTGATCAAATCGCCACTCTACGGATCATCATCGAACAAGGCTTGGAATGGCAGTCACCTCTCTATCTCAACTTCATCGATTTTGAAAAGGCCATCGATAGCGCGACGTCGATCGAGTGGTCATTTCGCAGCTACTTCGCTACTACGGGGTCCCATCGACAATTATACATCTCATCCAACAGTTATACGACAATTCTGCATGCCGAGTAATCCACAACGGGAAACTCACGGAAGCCTTCGAATTGAGGACGGGAGTGAGGCAAGGCTGCCTACTATCACCAATGATCTTCCTGATTGCAATTGATTGGATAATGCGACAGACAACGGCAACCAACGAGGGAACAGGCATAAAATGGACTGACACAAAATACTTGGAGGATCTGGATTTCGCCGATGATATATGTCTGATTTCCCATAAACTGGAAGATATGCAAGTGAAAAGTAACAAGTTGGCAGAAGAAGCATCAAAGTTAGGACTTCACGTGAACATAGATAAAACAGAGATGATGAAGATTCCTAGCCAACATCAACAGCAACAACAACAACAGACAACAATCAGCATAAGTGGGAAGAACGTGAAAGAAACAGCCTCCTTCACCTACCTGGGAAGCATCGTCTCAACTACAGGCGGAACTGACGAGGATATCAAAGCCAGAATCGGAAAAGCAAGATAAGCTTTCATTACTCTCAAATCTGTGTGGAGGTCAACAGCACT